AATACTATTTCTATGTAGAAGGTCGATAGACTTGAAGAATTGTGCGAAATTCTGATCGTCAAATTTTATGAAAATAATAAAAAATATGATTCGTTGGAAGCAAGACTCGATATTTTGGAAAAACATTCCAAACAATATCATGCCTCATGACATCATCTCCTCAGAAGACACATCAACTGGACATTGCAAGAAAGAGCAAGAATCAATTAAATCAATTAACCCACCAACTTTCTGGAATCATGAGCCTGCATTATATATGGTTTAATGTTGCTGAATCGATTTTTAAAACTCACGGAATAACTTCACAGAGAAATAAATTTGGGAGTGATTTCAATGTTGGACTGCAATATTGCGCTCTGGGTTGGTTTCGTAGGTCTCTGTATATGTTTTATTCCTAATATCCATTCGTCTCAAATACACTGCGTATTTTTTAAATATTCATCGATACGATTTTAATCTGCCGCTGGTTTTTCTGCTCACCCTGTAATAAATTATAATATTCCATTTGGTACAAGATATTTGATCTGCTTCTGGAATTCAGCTCGCTCTGTATATGATATTTCTAATATTCATTCAGCTCAAACGCACTGAGTATTTTTTCAATTTTCATCAATAAGATTTTGATCTGGCTTTGATTCTTCAGGTCACCCTGTGATAAATTATAATATTCTATTGGGTTCAAGATACTTTATCTGCCTCTGGTTTTGTAGGTCGTTCTGTATATGATTTTTCTGTTATTCATTCGTCTCGAACACACTGTATATTTTTTCAATTTCCATCAATAAGATTTTGATCTGGATCTGATTCTTTAGGTGACCCTGTATATGTTTTTCCATATTTCATTTGGTTCAAGATATTTGTTCTGCCTCTGGTTTTGTAGGTCGCTCTGTATATGTTTCATCTGGTATTCATTTGTCCCGAACACACTGTATATGTATTCATTTTTCATCCAACTCATACGTCAACTGTTACACGTCATCGGTCATCTGTCACCGGTCGTCAACTGCCATCTGTCATCGGTCATCAAATTGCAGAATTTTTAAAACTGCCTGATGTCATAAATTATACCGGGACCTCTGCAAGTTTAATTGCAAATTCTGGAGGAGACATTCTTGCTCGGAAGTCTACGAATATCGCTGAAGGGTATGTGCAGCAATCTCTCACAAAATAGCAAAATATTTCGAACCAAATTGTGGGTCACTGAAATTTTTATAAAAATCTGATGGGTGGTGCCACACTTACTAATACTTCGACTTCATTTAGACACTGTAGAAAAATCGGTGACCTTTCACTTTTCTATAGATACTTCCACGGTAAATGTTCCTCAGAAATCATTCCATTCCATTACTAGCAATTCCACTCAGACGAACTCGACAGGCTCATTCAGCTCATCCCTCCGTTGTCAACCTTGAAACATGTCGAACAACACTTTACCAAAACTGGTTCTTCTATGGAACGGCAAATCTATGGAACTCTTTGCCAAGAATTTATAACCTCCAAAAGTTAAAAAAAAACAACACCAACCTCCTCTACCTATCCTCTCTAGGAACGCACGATGTTCTTCGAACATTGTAGGAATTCCCTTTATTGCGATCCAAGAGATGAAAAAAAGTTCGATAGATGTCCCTAAAGAAAAGTTTGAAATTATATCCTATCAGGGACATGCTATAAGGCTGTCATTGCATGGACATTTTACAGTATGAACCACGTGGGACGTCTAAAGCATGCGATTTCTGGACATTCGAAATGATGTACCAAATGGGACATTTCATGGACGTTCTTGCTCGGACACAGGCGCGTATACAAGGATGGGGGGGGGTTATGGGGGTAATGACCCCCCCCTCCATACGATCGAAGGAAATTCAGAGTACCAATCAAAATTAACATTAAGATTGACAAAATGAATCTTGTTTCATTCAACAAAAAAAACTTAGAAATGCCAAAACTGCATCGTGCAAGTTTGTTTTTCATTCTGACAATTTAATGTATGTACTTATATAAAATTCTTCAGGCGTGATTTTGTCATAATGATAGAGAAAAAAGTTCATTTCTTTGATACTCCGCTGACAAACCTAACTATCAATTTAGAGGTATTTGTCCTTGAAATCCAAAAAAAAACTACTTGTGACGTTTTTTTGCTTTGTGACCCCCCCCCCCCCCCGCATAACGAATCGTTGCCCCCCTCCCATGGAACAAAGATGTATACGCGCCTGCTCGGACATTGCACGAGAAAATTATTTTAGGTCCGGGACATTAGGACTTGAATTGTACTAAATAAGGACGTCCCTATAGGAAGTTTCGTACTATTAGGCCTAAATCGGAAAGCCCGGGCTTTCCGAGGAGTTACGAGTTACGAAGTCGCTTGTGCGAATTGGTCGGGATTTCAAGATTTTTTACCGGAAAATTACTTGGCCGAACACTTTTCCGACCGAACAAGGTTGGCAGATTAGTTCGCATAAATTTTATGCGTACCAGGAGCTTAGCGGAAATAGCTGAGCAATGACGAATGTTAGGTGAATAATTGTTGAATACTATAAGTATAGCATAGACACATTGATAAAAATGTATCAGGCCGAAGAATGATGGTCTGTTACTTAATCATGGTTCACCTGCCACTGAAACTCGAAATCAGAAACATTCTCTTGCTTGTTGTAATGCTCCAAAACAGATTATCCTATGGATATCCACTGGATGTCCAAGAAAATTTTGATGAATTCCATATTCAATATTTTATGTCTTGCCAAGTAATGTTACTATTCACACATAGATTTGAATTTCCTTCCCTTTGATTCATGGGCGTAGCCAAGATTTCATTTAGGGGGGATGAGCAGTGGGGCATTTTTTCAGATGGTGAAACAAATTCTGTTCAACGATATTTCAAGTTACCTATTTTAAAACGAGCCTGTTGGTGTCTTGACAGAAGCTGTTCCTTCTTCAAATATCTTCTTCTTTCTATATGTACACTCAACTTACAGAGTCAACTGATGATGTCAACCAGGTTTTCAATCTTCCTAATTCACTGAATGACCTTTCATCAATCGTACATGTTGAGCATGGTTGAGTTGATTGAAATTAATAACAGAGCCCGTTTGGTTTGCTGAATAAAAAAAATCAGTTACTTTTACCAATTCTGCAATTTATATATCACTCATCGCATTTATTATAATTTTTTCATGCCCATAGGTTATACCATAATTTGCCTTCACAAGGAAATATTAAAATAACCGGACAAAAAAACTGTGATTTTCTGAGGAAATCCACTGTCATGTCCAACATATTAAAGGCACGCAGGTTATCATCGAAAAATGGCAGCTTTAATGGAGTTATTAATGAATCCAAGTAAGAAACTATATCAGTGACCTTTTCCAGAATTCTCAAGGAGTTTGTCTCATCGATTTGAATAGTACACTCTAGTCGTTCCGAAGCTCTTGATAATCTGTTTCAAGATTGTCTACGATTTTTTATTTGAGTTATTCCATTTTGGCTCATGAAGTTGACTGTTACTCAGTGATTTTTCACGAGAACAAGTAATTTTATGACTATCCGGAAGAATTGACTTCAATACACACAATTTGAAATAAATGAGTATAAATATGAAGCAAGAAATATGTCGCTCGCGAATCGACTCTAAAATTGTTCTAAAATTTTCGATATCGTTTGGATATCCACAAATCGTTCATATATTTCACAATTTACACTTTCATACATTCGTACATTTTTCGATATCCAATGGATATCCAAAAATTGTTCAAAGATATTCCGACATGATTTGGACATGATTTTGACGTCCATTAGATATCCGGTGTTGTATGGGTATGACAGTTTGTTTCATTTTTTAGTATGATATACGCAGTGGTAGGTAAAACATTCAAAATGAAAAATGAAAACATTAACTACTTTTTCGAATTGTTTAGAACTTTCTCCACCTGCAACATGTACAGCATGAGCCATGGAAACTTTTCATCCAAATTTTTTGGATTTCTAATCAGAATTTGGATAAACGTTCAAATGGGTGAAATTTCAGAATATTCTATGAAAACGACAATTTCCGCTGGTTTAGTACCTAATGAATATCCAATGGATATATAAATTCGGGTGTGGACATCACTTCATCTGATGCACACACAAGGGACATCCGACGATGTATAATGTGATGTTGTCTGGGGAAGCTCTGAATGAAACAAAAACACCTTTTTGTGGTATAGCACGCGCTGGGAGAGAAGAAACTAAAAGCTGTGCAAAAAACTAATAGTTTCACTGGAGGATTTAATGTAAATAAGTAGATCTGAAAAGGTTGCGGTGATGTGGATGATGCAAATAGCCCGAAGGGACCATCTACACCTGAGTGTGAGTTTTCTTCAGAACAAGAGTTGACCGTTGAACTTCAGTTCGGGGGATATTCCAAAATAGAATTATTTTATTCTCGCCTCATATCATGCCATCTGCAATGCAATAACACTGAATCTGTTGTAGTAAAATTTAAATATGTACATTTTTGTAACTTTGTATAGAGGCGTCATGTTAATCCAAAATTATTACAATGTACTGATGTAATCGATGAGTTATTCGTGTTCATTTGCCCCCTCTCGTATTCTCAAACCACATTTCCTCCCTCTCACAGGAAATTATAGATGATAATTTGTGCTCTATGATATTTAACATTCTTTCATGACCGCATATTCCTCGTTGAATCTACATAATCACAGTAGCGTGAAAAACAAGCAGTAAAAACTTCAGCCACTTAGAGAGTGTGCTATTGACTAATAATAAATAAAGGGAAAACCGTGTAAAGACAGCTAGCAATCCAGAAAGATCAGCCCTCTATTAAGGGTGGCCCAATAGAAGACGAGAAAAGCGTCATTTGGGGTGGAGTCTGGCGCAACCGCAGCCCTCCTGAAACCCTTGCGTAACCATGGTTACTACCACCCCTGAATTTCAAATGGTGATTTCAGTTTCATATGACTGTTCCAAAACATACTTTCAGATTATCGTTTATAATCATGGAGAAATTAACTCAATTCGTGTCTAAGTCTTTCGAAAATAATAATAATAATGATACGTTGACCGATCAGTGTATGACCGTTGAAGTTCAGAAGTCTTCAGTAAGCCCACCTATCAAAACCGAAAAGGAGTTGGCAAGTGACGATGCCAAAAAACCTAAGAACTGGCTCATTTCTGATATAGAAAGAACTTCAGAAAATTCTTCATCGATAGGTATAGACTTGCGGTTAAATACAGTGCGAAATTCAAGTGTGAAGTGTAAGGACAACTTGGACGAAAAAAACTGTGATATAAACAAACAAAAATGGTGTAGAAGTAATGTTGTGAAATCTACTGAAAGTTACTCTATTATCGAGAAAAAAGGTTCTGGGCTGTGTACTAATAATTCATGTGATAAAAATTACGAGAAGAAAGAGGACTCCACTAATAAGGATAGCAATTCTTGCGAGGAGAATGATCACAAAATATGTAAGTTTGAACAAATGAAACCAAGTTTATTGCTTGTTAGTACCTACTTTCAATGCAAACAAAACACAAGCATGCCTTTTCTCTAGAAAAGCCGATCTCACTGTGCCCAACATAAGCTTGTCAGGAGTAACCATACCTTTAAAGACATCAATTTCGATGCTTGGTATTACTATCAGTAGTAACCTTTCCTGGGAAGATCACGTGAGATCAATTGCTAAAAGTGCAACCCAAAAACTTGGTTTTCTGTTTCGTGCCAGGAGTTATTTCACTCCCAGTCAGCTGCTTATGATCTATAAGGCACAGATCCGATCTGTCCTGGAATACTCAATACTGTTCCCATATTTGGAATTCAGCACCCAAACATACCCTGAAACTGTTGGATTCTGTCCAACAAAGGGCAATTCGTCTCGTCTCTCACTTCTCTGGAACACCGAATTCTAGAATGGGGATCCAATAACTTGGTAGATTCCAATGCAAACAAAACACAAGCATGCCTTTTCTTTAGAAAAGCCGATCTCACTGTGCGAAACATATAAGCATGTCAGGAGTAACCATACCTTTGAAGACATCCATTTCGATGCTTGGTATTACTATCAGCAATAACCTTTTTTTTGGGAAAATCACGTGAGATCAATTGCGAAAAGTGCATTCCAAAAACTTGGTTTTCTGTTTCGGGCCAGGAGCTATTTCACTTCCAATCAACTGCTGATGATCTATAAGGCACAGATCCAACCTGTCCTGGAATACTGTTTCCATATTTGGAGTGCAGCACCCAAACATACCATGAAACTGTTGATGGATTCTGTCCAAAAAAGGGCAATTCGTCACGTGAGTGATGCCTCGCTCACAAACTCACTCACTTCTCTGGAACACCACGTAGAAAAGTTGGAGATCTGGCTCTATTTTATAGTAATTTTCATGGACGATGCTCTTCTGGAATATCAACAATTGTTCCTCCCTTGGTAGTCCCCGCGAGATTAACCCGTCGAGTTGAAGCTTCGCACCCCTTCGTGGTCACTGAAGACCTGCAGAACATCTCTTTCCAAAGACTCGTTCATCCAACGAACAGCGAGGCTCTGGAACACATTGCTAATGGAGGTGTTCCCCGAGGAATATAACCTTCAGAAATTTAAGAACACCAATTACTTCCTTATTTCTCTTGGTTCTCACGATGTTTTCTGAACATTACAAGATATCCCTTTTCGGGGGAACCAGAACATAAAAAAAATTTCCTATCACGGTAATATAAGTTACCAGCATATTTCCTATGTACGATATGTTATGTATAGACCTAAAAGCGGTAGTGTTAGCACTTTTCACTATTATTAGATACACATTCTGAATTGAACATTTTTTGAACGGGTTATGAAAGGAGAGCCATGGACAAAAAGATTAGACCATCACCTATGATTTAATAAATGCGCGAGTAAATTCGCTTTAGATTTTTCGAAGGGTATGAATGAATGAATGAATGAATGAAATTTATTGAAATAGGAAATCCTAATACACGAAAATTTGTAGGTACAAAATATTCTGAACAATAAAGTTATAAACTAAGTATACAATTCCGATATAAAAAAATATACAATAAAAGACCAATCATTTGGTGAGCAATATTAATAATAGGATATATAAAACTAAATCAATTACTACAAATAAGACTTTATATAAATACTGTCAGTTGTGTGGAAGGTCTGAACAAAAATGGAGGTTTATCTTCTAATATGCAAAACTACATTTCTTTTGAACTCAACAACAGTTTTAGAATCTTTAATGATTTCAGGTAGTTCATTATATTCCTTCAAGCCCTTATAAAATAGGGACTTCATTGTATTACACATATTGACACGTTGTATATAAAAATTTTCTTTATTTCTCGTATGATACCCATGGATTTGACTGCTGTATTTGAGAAATTCATTTAGATATGTAGGTACCATGTTGTGAGTTATTTTAAAGATATAAATCATAGCATTTAAGTAGAATCTGTCCGAAACTGGTAGCCACTGTAATGTGTCAAGCATAAGGGAGATGTTAGTGTATCTGTTGCATTTTAATATTATTCTCATTCCCCTGTTTTGAAGCTTTTGAAGTGCATTTATTTTGTTCGCAGCAAATGTATACAATAAGCTCGCACAGTATTCGAAATGTGGTTGTATGATTGTATTAAATACAGTAATTTTAGAAAAACTCGAAATATTTTGCGAAATTCTACTGAAGAAGAATAATTTTTTACATATTTTTTTTATAAATGTATGAAAAATGAGAGTCAAATGACAGAATGTTGTCAATCATGAATCCGAGATACTTGAATTCTTTCACATATTCTATCGTCTCATTGTCTATGGTAAGAGTACAGTTGTTGATATTGATGTTTGAATATCTATAGGATGTTGTCAGAATCATTGCTTTAGTTTTGGTAGTGTTTAGCTTGAGCCTGTTATTATTTAGGTACGTACTAACTAGTGCCAATGATTCATTCATTTTTTCTGCAGCATGATTAAGGTTGTTACTTGATACTGAAAGAAGTGTATCATCAGCAAATAGGTTTATGAAGTTGCACTTATGATGAAAATTGATATCATTAATATATATTAAAAAGAGGAGTGGTCCCAAAACACTGCCTTGAGGAACACCAACCTTATTTATAATTGGTTCTGAGAACGTATTGCCTATCTTTGTTATTTGGTTTCTATCCGATAAATAGTTTTGAAGCCATTTAAGTACTGTTCCAGTAATACCATAACTTTCAAGTTTCTTCAACAATATTGCACGATCAATAGTCTCAAAAGCACGTTTAAGATCTAGAAATACCGAAATAACATATTCTCCTCTATCTATGGCTTGTTTCCAATTGGTGATAGTTAATTGCAATGCAGATTCACAAGAGTGGTTGGCTCTGAATCCCGATTGATTTAACATAAGTATGTTGTTTTTATTAAAATATTCCAAAAGTTGTTTATAAACAACAACTTCAAGAATTTTTTCTATACAAGGTAGAGTATTTATTGCTCGAAATTCCCATGACTTTGTTGAACCCACCACTTTCTGAATAGGCACTACAATGCTAGTTTTTAGCTTCTCTGGAAAAACTCCATAATAAAGTGAAGTATTAATAAAATGTAGTAATACGTGACCAATCACTTGAGAAGATGATTTTATTACTTTTGTGTTCATCAGCTCATTTCCTGACTTATTTTCTATTTCATTGATTATAATCCTCAGCTCTGTAAGTTCAAGTTGTTTAAATTCACTAATAGTACAGTCAGATTCATAAGGATTAATACATTCCTCATCACCATCCTTGATGGAATTTATCACAACACTTATGCTGTCTACAAAGTAATTATTAAATCTTTCTGCAATTTCTTTGTGACAATTTACAGTTTTTACAATACCATTTATTTCGAAATCAATGCCGTTATTGAAACAGTTGTCAGAGCTCTTTGGGTTGATAAGATTTTTCAAAGTTTTCCACATTTTAATTGCATTATTTTTATTCGAATCAATATTGTCGTAGTAATACTGTTGTTTTTTATTTCTCAATAGATTAACAAAGTCATTCCTGATAATTTTGAAGTTTGACCAATTTGCTTCTGTACTATTTATCCTGAATAGTCTATATGCCTCGTCTTTATCCTTAGATTTAATCTTCAATTCATGATCATAGTATGGTAAACTATTGTTGTTGCATTGAAATATTCTTGTTGGTGCTATTTTGTTTATGACAGATTCACATTTATGAGATATATCTTCATACAACTCATTGACATCAACACAATTTAATTTAAAATCACACGTTATCAATTCCAAATTTATTTTGTGTAAATTTATCTCTCCTAAGTTTCTATATGTTTTTAGAACCGTTTCATTTTTTTGAGTATAATTTGAAAATAAGTCGATGGTTATAATAGAGTGATCTGTTATTTTAGGTATATCATGAACAGTTACAGAAATATTTTCAAAGTTCGCTACATAGCAATGGGTGATAGAGGAAGACGAGTTGATGTATGTATATGAAAAGTTTTTTTGACCCTCTATAACGAAGTATTTATATATGTGAAATTACCATATAACTTTGATGGCCGATATTTCAGAAATGATTAATCGTAATTTGCCGAAATTTGGCAGCGACGATTCTTTATTGAAACTTTCTGAAATGACGTACTATGAAAGAAAAAACCAGGTCCGGACTTGGGAAAAATTCATGTTTTATTGTTTCAAGAGATGAGATACAGATTCAGGAAGATCAGACCAATTTGCACTGATGCGCAATTTGACCAGTTCATTGAAAAAATATGAAACAAAATCGTTCGAATGAATTTCCAATTTTGACAGATAACTCTCATCTTCCAACTGGATTCATCTAAATTAATTTTTGTCACATTTGACATAAAAGAGTAGTTGAGAAAAAACCCAGTACTGATTTTTTAATAATTTGAAATGTTAGTTTTTGATCGATATTCTAGATAGATATTTTTATTCGTGACTTTTTTTTTAATTTTAATTTAAGTAGTAACGAAATAGTATGACCTGTTTTTCATTGTGTGACGTGCCGTGGCGTTTGTTTATAATCCGAACTGATATGTATGTATGTACATACTTATCAACTGATGGTTAAATTACGGCATGAGAATTTTTTGATGTTGTCATAGATGGTGATTCATCAAATTAATCATACCATCGCGTGTGTACTGAGCTTCATGTGTTCTTGATATTGATACACTTCTGCCAGTGATAAGGAT